GGGAAACAGTAATTGGGAAGTGTGTTCCACAGGCGAGAGGTGCATGGTATGAAGCTATTGGAGTAGAAGAGACGGCTACATTTAAAAGTTTCTACAGTGTAAGGGTGAGAGCGGGATGCCAGCCTCGTAGGGCGCTTGAATTCATGGAGTCTGGGAACCAGTGAAAGCAGCTCATCGGAGCAATTACCATGGAAGTATTTGCAGAAAAGACAGAGAGAGGCGACGGCGCGTCTGTGAGAGAGTGACTGTAGACGAGATGCCAGATCAGGGCCAATTATATTACATATCCGTCTCTGGATCTTGTCAAGAACTCCGAGGTAAACAGAAGGTGCCCCAGACCATATATGGCAGCAATACTCCATGCAAGGGCGAATGGTTGATTTGTATATTTGAAGTATCGATTCCGGGGAGAAAAATTTCCTGGCGCGGCACAGAGAGCCAATTTTCTCGCGGTGGAAGAAGCAATTGACTCAATGTATTTGTTCCATCTCAGGTCAGCAGTCAGCGTGAGGCCGAGCAGACGCAGGGAGTTGCTCTCAAGAAGTTGACTATCAGACATTCTAATGGGGGCAGGGAAGGATCTCTATGGTGATTAATAGAGAGTAGTTTAGTTTTTGAGGCGTTAAAGTTGACCAGCCAATTCTTGCCCTAATTAACAACCGATTGGAGGTCCATTTCAAAGTTACATGAGAATACGACGGATGGGTAAGACAATTTATAAAATATTTTCTCTTGATATGTTTCGGCAGTAATCAGGCGCCAGGAGGAAAAGTATTTTATTTCACGAGAATAAGAATCTACATTAGCCAGACAAAAAAAGTGATTCCCGTTAAATGACTAAACGTTTGATTTTGACTTTTGTTGCGCATGCTCTATGGGTTAAATAGCAGGGTAGACTGAGCTCCCTAGCTTGGATGGTGACCATTATAAGAGAAGAAAAACTCCGAATTCCCAACCGTGGGAAACCACTCCACTATATTTTCTAAAAGATGCATACTAAAGAAAATGAGACTGCCTACGCCCACGTCTTGAAGGGACATGGTACAGATAAATAATACCTTGAAACAAACCGATCTGTTCAAATGTAATCCAAATATTTTTTTTTTCTTTCGACAGGACATCATACACCCGGAACAATCCGAAGTTATGCAGGTTCTATCGCTACCGCCTTATACAAAGATCCGACGCGAAGAAGACAACGAGCTCTTCAAGGAACCATGTCTTTACCGGGACCTTCTCTTATTGAGACTTCGGGAGAATCCGAAGAAATCAACCGACAGAGCTATCCACGAGCTCACCACAGGTAAATAAAGAAATATTTTTGAAATCTATGGGAAAAAAAATAGACAAAACCAAAACGATGACTCGTTTCGCCTTCTCGTGCTAACATGAAATGGAAAGACTATATTGAATCCATTGCTAGGTCAATTTCTAAGAAAGTTGGTTCACTGTGTCGAGCGAGACGATCTTTCTCTCCGGAATCTATCTTACACATCTATAAGTCTACCATTCGTCCATACTTAGAAATATATTGCCATATATAGTTCTATTCCCCTGCTTTTTAGCTTGAGCTCCTTGATAAGATCCAAAGAAGAATCAGCAATATTATTAGTCCTGATCGAACATCTTGGCTTCAGTCATTTTTCCACAGCCGTATGTTTGCCTCTCTGTGTCGTTTTTAATATTTTCATGGTAATTGTTTGGATGAACTTTTCGCTCTGGTACCTAGACTGTATAAAATTAAGCGCAGACTGGCAACAAGATCTCACCAATTACAATTGAGCTGGCTAGATAACCGTAAGTTCTATGCTAACAGTTTCATTTCTCGCACTTCTTACTTGTGGAACTCTTTTCCAGAACCATGCTTTCCGGCCAACTTTAATCTGCAAAAAATTTAAATTCAAGGTCAATCGCTATCTACTGTCCCTCTGATTACCCTTTTCTCTTTCATTAGTAATGTTTCTGTTCCTAATTCTTTCACACCCTGTAACACCTTGTGTCTTAGCGGCTTTATTGCGTTGTATGGGGTGAAACCGATTAAAAATCATCTGTTAAAAATCTTGAAAGTGAATTTTATCAAAAAGTTTCATGACTTCGGCTGTAAAATTGATGCGAGTTACAATTGCCATTGTCCTTATTAAATATTTTATTTACACCCAGTTAGCTCCTAAAATCAAATAAAATCATTTTTAATCGATTTCACAACAAGCAAGGCAATAAAGCCACTAAGACACAAGGGGTAACTGGGTGTGAAGGAACTAGAAAGAGAAACATTACAAAGAGGCGAGAACAAAAGAAGACACTCTTAGCATAAGACTTAAGGTTACATCTAGTCAACTCACCCTCTAAATTGATGAGATCTCAACGCCAGTGGTTATAGGGTGTGAAAGAATTGGCATGGAGTCGGAAGAGAGTTCCAAAAGCAAGAACTGAGATAAAAGAAATTTAGCATAGAAATTACGGTCACATATAACTGGCTCAACTGTAAATTGATGAGATCTCGAGGCCAGTCTAGCATCTGCGATTAAATTCATAAAGTCTAGGTACCATAGCGAAGAATTCATCTGAACAATTCCCATGAAAGTATTTATAGAAAAGGCACTGGAAAGCAACTTACGGCGGTGCGAAAGCGACTGAAGCCGAGACACCAGATCAGGACCAATAATATTACTGATTCTTCTTTGGATTTTATCAAGTTGCTCTAGATGAATAGCAAGAGCAACTGACCCTGTATGGCAGCAAAATTCTAAAAATTAACGAATGGTAGACTTATAGATATATAAGTTAGATTCTGTTTTTTTTTGGTTTGTTTTACGGCATATCAACCTCAATGGGTTATTTAATGCCGACAAGATTTTTATTGCTGGCAATATTTTCTCTCTCTCTCTCTCTCTCTCTCTCTATCTATCTATCTATCTATCTCTCTCTCTCTCTCTCTCTCTCTCTCTCTCTCTATCTATCGATCGATCGATCTATCTATCTATCTATCTCAATATATATATTGGTTTGGTTTGGTTTACGGCATATCAACCTCAATGGGTTATTTAATGCCGACAAGATTTTTATTGCTGGCAATATTTTTTCTCTCTCTCTCTCTCTCTCTCTCTCTATCTATCTATCTATCTATATTTTTTCCAATAAAATTGTTTGTTTTGCATATCAACCTCTGGTTATTTAATATCGACAAGATTTTTTCTTCAAAATCTATTTCTCTATTAAAACCTGTTTTTAAATCTATCTATCTTTCAATATATATATTGGGTTTGTTTACGGCATATCAATTCCAGTTTTGGGGACAAGATTTTTAACAATATTTGCCCATAGCCGGGACTATCTCAATATATATAGGTGTTTACGGCATATCAACCTCCAAGATTTTTATTGCTGGGTGGACTTTTTTTCTTCAAAATGGTATTAAAACCTGTTTTTTAAACTTTCATGGTGTTTTGATTCCAGTTAACTATTTGCCCATAGCCGGGACTCTAACAGGGTTCCAACCGCTCCAGGGTGGACCTGAACACCTAACACCTCCTAATCAGAGGCCTTGTTGCTGGACGTAGTTTATCGTCTTACTCTGGACGAGGGTATAGTTTTGTCGTCTTACCCAGGTCGATAGAACCATTGTCTCGCACGACACAGTGAACAAACTTTCTTAGCAGCTAAATGGGTTCAATATAGTCTTTCCACTTCACGTCAGCCGAGAATGTTAAACCTAGAAAGTGCAACGAGTGACTTTTCTGGAGGTTAGCATCAGCCATGCTGATGGAAGACAGAGAGAGGTCTCTCATATGATTAATGGATTGCAGCTTAGATTTGCAGAACCTAAAATTAAAATTAACAAGTCGTCCTTTGCCCTAGTTAACAACGGACTGGGGGTCGATTTGGGCATTGGCTGCCAATTTCACCTTAGCAACATCATTTTTTACCTAATGCTCTCAAAATGTAAATGCTGGTAGATATGCCAAAGAGACAGGTAAAAGTGTTATGCTGAAAGTTCTCAATAAGAAATGTGTTCTCTAATAAGTGAATAGTCCTCTGTAACCACGGGTTTGCTTTCTATGTTTTCAGTTAACCGCGGTCACTCCCAGAAATACTTCCTAAATTTTACTAAATAAATTTCTCAAAACACAAGAGTATTACTGCTGGCAATTCGGAGAAGCGGTAAGATGGTTCCTTTAATAGAAAAGCTGAAAGGTATCGTTTTAATTAGGAAAGTGGCTCCTCGTCCTTGTGGGTGATGAATTATTTTCCATCCTACTGTCCCTTTCCCATAGATGAAACGTCGCAAGTCAATTGCTACTCTATTTCTATTTCCATGAAAAGTGTTCGAACAAACTACGTCCCTTAATTCCAACAGTTCTAACTTTCACGCACACTCTTGCGAACCAACCTCCTTCTCTTCGCATTCCACTGGTGAGATGTAAGTTCCACTCGAGCAGCTTCTTCCCACGAGGCTCTACTTTGTGGAACCGACTCCCAAGGGCATGCTTCCCCGATCACTACAATCAACCTATTCAAGTCTAGAGTTAACCGTTATCTTCCCACATATCTCCATAAACTCTTACTATGAACCCTCTTCCTCGAGTGTCTCTTGGGCCTTGTAAAAATATAATAAAGTTCCCCATAAGAAAAAATCTGAGGTTGCTAAGATCTACAGTAAAAACAATTCTTCTTCCACAAAAAATGTGTTATAAATATTCTATCATGTTATTGAGTCTAATTTACAAATTAAACAGGATAGATTCGTTTTCTACGGATTATCAACCATTTGTGGGTTATTTAAAGCCAGAAAATATTTTTAGATTATAAGAATTTGGGGGGGGGAGATAATAATGGTTTTGTAGTACAATTTTTGTTAATTAACCCATTGCTTGATGAGAAGAGGTGGGTGCATACCTTTCCCAAGGCTCTTAGCGCCTAAGTGAGCATAACAAACGCAACGGGAACTGGTCTCTCTGATTAAGAATTCCGAGCCATTATCCATTACACCACCCAATCTT